CAAAAAAAGGCAGTGGGGAGCTAACACACCATCTTCTATAGAAACTATGAACTCTTGACTCTAGGTCCCTGCTATAATACCCAGCAGCTTCAGAGTTAGTTAGAGCAAGGAGTAAGACCACTGTCTGTCTCTCACTCAGTGTATTTTTAAGAGTCCTCAGCTAGCCTTCTTACAGGTATTTCTCAAAGCATTTCATTTGAGAATGATAAAACAGAGACTGGCCATCGGCTTTTTCTTCAAGTTTTCTTCTTTAAGAAAATAAATCAGTGGTCCCAGAAGAAATCTGATAAACTTTCATATTCTAAATGAGATTTTATTTGAAAGTAATTTTCTCTGCTAGGGAAAAGGATTAATACTGACATGAAAAATGGAAAGTGGAATTGAATATAGCCTGAGGAAAATGAAAGGACATAGAATGCAACTCATGGGGCAAGCTGAGATTTCTCACCACCATATTTCATCATACCTAAGACGCAACCGAATGGTCTTTTATGGACTACCAAGAAAAACAGACTGCCAATTAAACTATCACATGCCACTGGCATGCCATCAACTCCCAGAGTTGTAAAACTATATCTGAGAATCAATAGAATATGATACCTGGAGTAACAGTTACTGTAAGGAAGTTTTTCTTTTTTGATGATTTCTATAGAATTAAGAGTTTTAAAATCTACCTTAAATCGACCCAAATAAATTACTTTTCTATTCTTAGTAGGAATTCCAATCCTTGAATTATATAGGTATTTAGAGTCTTATTCCCAGGTCCTGTTGACAGAGCCTCATGTTGTAATTTCCACTGTGTAGTCTTGTAACTTTGTAAAAGGTTTTTCTTTCCCTTCTCTCATGTCCAGGGCTGGTGTGGATGGAAGGGTCCAGACTTTTGGAACAAGGATGCTTACTATAACTTATGCCTTCCTCAGCGACCAAATATTATTTAAAGTGTCTTAGAGTCAAAGACTGCAGTAAAGTGGTATTATAAATTTAATAAAAAATAAGTTTAATTTCAGATTAAATTCTGGGTATAGTTGGATGGTTTAAACTGATGTTTTTAAAAGGTTATAAATACTGCACAGAGAATTTATTCTTTAGACATTCCTTTAATAACTTAGAAGACAAAGCATGCACAACCAAAATATTATAGGCATGTAAATACATGTATTCTTAAATGTTATCTTCACTTGGAAGAAAGTTTTCTTCCTCCTTAGGAGTTTAGACACACAGGGTAAGTCAAAAGCAGTAGCTTGTAGATCTACAGGAAATGAAGGGATTCTTCAAACATCTTCATGACCAACGTGGTATCTGTTTTTGAAAAACATTATATTAACATTAAACACTTAAAAGAAAAGGTTTTCTCCCCAAACTTCCACCATGCAGGCCAATTTTTGGTCCCTAGAATCTAGCAGTAGTAACTATAACCAGTATTAAAGTGTTAATACTAGAAATAAGAGTGTCCATATTTAAATGGAACAATAAATTCTATGCTAAACAGGAGGTCCTTGAGGGAGGTAGAAATCAGCAGCTACATGTTACTCACCAGCACTTCCTTTTCCCACTTGTATTCTCTGCACTTCCAAAACTTCGTTTCTGTCTAAGCACCGGAACACAATGATCTCTATCGGATTGTTCACTCGATTTTATTGTCTGCATATATTTAATTGTTGTAAGAAATTTGGCACATTCTGGAAATCCACATGACCAAGCAAGATCTTCAGCGGTTTGCCCATCCTTATTACATAAACTGAAATTATGACAAAAATTGAGTTAAAAAATCGATAATTTAGTCTTTGTTATATCTTTTTAACTAAGAAATCTGGGGCTCATAGAAATGTTGGTTGCAGAAAAGAGGTAAAGGACACATAGGGAAATTCACTTTTGCTCACTGTCATACCCTCAGTGGTAGCAGAGTCCAGCACAAAGTGGGCATTCTGTTTTTAAATGAATGTAAGAGTATTTGTTGTTCAATACAGTGAATGAGTACCCAGAGGTAGTCAATGAGAACTTCCATAGAACGGGTTTTCCTAAACCAAAACTGAAGTAGAATACTGCCATGATGAACAGGATGGCACCTCTGATTGCTCACGATCCATTTTTCACTTACTCAAATTGAATATTATTAGATTGTCACTAACAGCCTACATTAACATTTAAATGAAGGGACTAAATTATCAATGAGGCAAGCATTATGTTTTAAAGCACATGTAATTAAGCTTCAAGAGTCTGAGTAATCCAAGAAAACAAAATTTGAAAGTGCTGATTTTATACTCACTCAATTTGGGCATCACTGGCTACAAGCAGGCTAAGGCATTCCAGGCTTCCAACTTTTGCTGCCTTGTGTAGTGGAGCTTCTCCCAAAACATCCTTAAGGATAAGATAGTGCATTTTAGAGTCTCTCCCCAAAATACTTTCTGTAGAAGTTTGTGGGTAAAGTCTGGGAATAGCTATTTGAGCTATTTATAGTCAGAACTGCATTCTTCTGGACTTAATTTTTTAATTCAATCTATTTGATAAGTTCATGTACTTTTAATACAAATTTTTCATTAATAAAAACATGCAGCCGCATCCACATTAAAATTTAAGTGAATAAAAGCAAAGTAGAATTCTACAGAAGTTAAAGGTTTACAATTTAAAATTCACCATACTTTAATATTCAATGGAAGATGTGAACTACCGTAAGAAAGTTCTTTAGGAAACTGACTGTGGGCACGCCTCACAAGCTATTTCAGTAGCTATACTGAGACTTTTGGTAATGCAGCAATCATTTCTTTTGAAATAAGCTGTAGACCTATGCTGTCCAGTGTGATAGCCAATAGCCACGCCCAGTTAAAGTGCATTTGAAATGTGGCTCCTCTGAACTGGGATATGCCACCACACCAGACTGTGAAGTCACAGTAAAAATAAAATACCTCATCAATAATTGCTTAACGTTGATTACATATTGAAAAGATAATATTTTGGATAAATTAGGGTAAATTACTAAGATTTCATGTTTTGTTTTACTTTATTGATGTGGCTACTAAAAAATTTAAAATTACATACTTCTCTAGCATTCTATTTCTACTGGACATCGCTGCCATAGACATGTTTAAAACAAACAACTAAACGTTCTTGGCGTGTAAGAAATGTTTTGTGTGGATTTGGGGTGGAGGGGAGGGTTGTACACAGCAACAATCCGTTACCTAGTTACCTGCTGGTTGAGGTCAGCGCCCGTTTGCAGCTGCCAGAGAAGAAAGTACGCAAGGCCGCCACCTGCCGCTAAGTGGACGGGCGACTGCTCGCAGGAATCCGGGGGTGCGTTCACCGAGGTCCCCATCTCCAGCAAATGCTTCAGACTGTCCACCTGGGGGAAGAGAACAGATCCAGCACCTCTCTCGCCTTGCCCAGCCTGCGCCCTCTCTGGGTTGAAACCCCTTCCCGACTCCAAAACCAACTCTGACAAGGCTTGACAAGGCAGCGCCCAGTGGTCAGTCCACGATCACCCAGAGCTCCCGAAAAGCGACCTCTGGAAACCAAGGACCAAAAGGGCACGAGTCTCACCTCCGGGTTGCAATCAAGCAACAGCATTTCCCGCCTAAAGCAGATGACAAGCGTCTCTGGAAGTGCAGAGTGGTGGGACACTCGCTGCAGACCGGCAGGTAAGAGTGCACAGTACGGGAGAATTTAAAGACTGTCGGGGTAGCGGGGCAGCTCCTCGCCCCAGCCCTGGCCGCGCCCCTGCAGCCTCACCCTTTGCTGTGGGACTTTGCCCAGCCCTGCGGCCGCCGCACGTACACAAACACTGCCACGTGCTGCCGGGAACCCGCCGCGCGGGCGGGGGCTGGGAAGGGAAAGGTCGGCGCGCAGGTCCGCCAGCCGATTGGTCAGCCTCAGCCGCTCAAGGCACGCCCATCTCGGGGCGGGGCCCTCGGCCGCCTGGGGAGCCCTGCCGCGCGTGCGCCGTGCAGGTCGAGGGGGGAGTGCGCGGGAGTGGGGTAGCTGGGGTTCGGCGGCAGCCATGAGGCTCGCTCAGTTTCACACGTCTCGCACTGGTGCTGCCAGCCCTTTAATCCCTCTGGAAAAGCGGGAGTGGCGGGCGAAGGTTTGGCTTCTGCGTGCACGCACGTAACCAGGAAACGGGGCCGCTATCAGTGCTCTCTCCCACGCCGCCGTGCGTGGTGCGGCCGCCCCTCCGCAGGAGCGAGGCTTCCCTCCGCCTCACGTTTAAAATCGCCTCGCCGGCCTCAGAGGTCCGCAGCATATTGAGGAGGAAAATGGGGGCGCTGGGGGTGCGGCGAGTGTGAGCCCGAGGGCAGGGGTTTTACCGCGGGAGCTGCCCCGCCCCCGAAACCATCGCTCCGGCCAGGGCCCCCGGGGGGTAACGGTGCGGTGCCCATCTGGGGTCCCTGTGCGGGACGCGGCACCGTGACCGGGCCCGCGTGCAGGGAGGTCAAACGTGTGCGTCCCAGCTGATAAGTGCAAGGATCCTGCAGGAGCTGGGGCCCGAAGTAGGGAACCCGTGGGCGCCCTCACCCTGTCGCGGGAGACTTCCTGGAGCGGACCGGCCCTGCACGTGGGGACCGCCGGGCTCTTCCCGCCAGGCAGGGCGACCGGGGCTGGGGAGTTGGCTCTCCTGGAGCTGCTCATAGGGCTCAGCTTGAGTCATTCCTTTTTGTACAACTGCGGGAACAGATGACGTGACTGAAATTGTAGCCCCTGACGTCGTATCTAGTGCCTTGACTGTCTTCCTAAGCACTGTTTTCAGATTAAACCAGCTCGAAACTAACGCTCCGGCCATATATTTATTTTCCCTAAAATCTTTACTAATTCCTTTCTATCTAGTGATATCTTTGAGAAGAGGACAGAAAAATAAGTATTTTATTATTATGCTTTCAGAAGACAGGCCCATCTTCTAAAGATAAGTAGCCTTTTAGTTCTAATTTTAGTTAACAGTATATTATGTTTTGTAACAGCCATAAAATAATTGTGCAATCATAAATTTATGTTGTTAGGGAGAGATCCAAGAGATAGTTTTAAACATTTTTGTTCATATGGATATTGGAACATAAATGTGTGTTAAACATGTATATGGAATCGAGCTTATATTCTATATTTTTAATATTTAAACTATTTCAACAGCTTTTTATGATAAAGAATGGCAGTGCAGAGATACTGCAAGGACCCAAGTCCGTGAGGATTGCCTCCTGTGGCCGAAGGAGACAGCAGGCTCTCCTCATCATCCTCTACACCAGCGAAGACTAAATGTGAAAGAGATTTTGAAAATTATTTTAATGGGGAAAAAAGGGAATATCCTTAATTAACAAATCCAGGTCGCTTCAATTAGCCAGTTGGGTGGGGAAGTTACGGGGAAGACTAGCGCAGTTGTAGGCAAGGATAGACTGCCTCTTCTCCATCCATCTGTGGGTAAGATGAGTAAATCTGTAACCTCATCACATTATTTTACAGAAAATTTGAGAAATAGAGAAATTTGCAAGTCCTATCACTATTTGCAATTCTAAAATAGATGAAGATCTGAATCTAAAAGTATTTTTGTAATTCTTAAGGCAGTAAGATCATCTGACCTGCACTTATCTGAGACTATATTTAGTGTTTATCCCATTTTATGTGAACAATATTACACTTTACTGCAGAGATATTAATAATTATGGTGAAAGAGTGCTATCCTATACCATGCCAAGGATGTTCTGCAACATGGTATAAATATGTAATATTTATATATATATAAATATATATATAGAATGACATTTCCAAAATCTAAACACTTCTGAAATCTAAAACACATCTGTCCCCCAGAATAGTACATAATACTGTACATAATTCTGTACAGGTACAGAATACCTGTACATAATTCCACAACCCAAGACAATTGTTTTGATGTATTTATACCTATGGTATTTTCTCCCCTTCTTTATTTTTATATAGTAATAAACATAATGTCTATACATGTTTCTAGGGTGTCCACTTGAATCTGTCCTCAGCTCAGCATCCTTCATAGTGCTGGTCCCCGAGCTCTTCATCACCAGCCAGTCATTGCAGAAAGTCCAAAGCAACTGTTTCTACTGACTCCTACATTTACAAGAGTCCTGGACTCCAGCTCATGCAAAGACTAAAACACCATCTGGCTGCTTTTCTAAGGCACAGAAATTGCTGGAATCCAACTGCCCAGTGGCTGCCAGCCTAGACAGGTTGCTCCCAAGAGCACAGGGTTAGGATGGGGCCCAGCCTATTCTCTTATCCTTTCAGCCCACCATTTTCTGAGGCTCTGACTGATGCCCGAATCACATATTCATTAATTTTTTAAATGTTAATAATTTTCTCCATATATGTCATAGTTCTCTGAAATTATGCCTACATATTTTATGTTTTTGTTTTATCGTTATAAATGAGCATTCTGTGTCCAATGTATTTTCTCACTGGCTAGTAAAGACATGCTTTTCATTTTTGTTCATTTTTTATCTTGTCACTTTTCTGAACTAATCAATTCAGTCAGTCCTTAAGCTGATCTCTTTGGATTCTCAAAGTTACAATCATCATCTACAAGAAAGATAATTTTGTTTCTTTTTTAAAAATATTTATATCCTTTTTGTTTTGTGTTTCACTAAGAACTTCTAAAATATTAGTGCATAACAATGGTGATGATACCAGGAATCTTAGTTTTGTTCCTGATTTCAATTAGAATACCACTTTTTCCTCTCTGAACACACCTTTTCTCTGCTTTGCATTAAATTGAAATCTGTATCTTCTCTGAGGAAGACACAACTTCCCCTGAAGATAAGACTGAAGACAACTCAAGCTTGACAGTATGAAATAACATTATCTTTTACCTGTAAGTTATCTAAGGACACAGGGTGATGATAAGCAACCTTGGGTGTCTGCTCATGATTATTTTATAAAAGATTAATCCAGTCTTGCTGTTTGGTGTGCCTCTCTGAATCATTAGGACAGCAGGTCAATTTAAATTTCTGTTGTTAGAGATCTTTGTCACTTCCCTATGATTCTATTTTCTTTTCTCAACTGTTGCTACACCTTGAGGGTGATGAGCAATTAGTACATATTGAACAATTTTACTTTATGTATTTTCCTAGCTGACCTCTGGAGGTAAATCATGCCAGACTGGATTTAACACCATACTAGCATCAGCTCTTCTGTGCAAATAAGCTTTTATAAATCCAGAACATAGAGATACAATCAGTAAATAATATTCACAACCATTTACTTTTGGTTGTTGAGTGAAATCCCCGCAGGAAAGGACATGGCAGCCATAACAGGACAACAAAAGTTTCCACACATTGGGAGCAGGAGAGAAGCTCACACAAATGCCCTTAAGATTTTGAACATATCAGTGTTTGTTAGCCTATTTTCTATGCTCACAGAATACATGGTAAATTGGAGAAAAATGAAGTAAAAAGCTACTAGGCTGTCTCATCCAGTGCTCATCTCAGCTTATCCGGTTATAAATGACATCCTGTCTTTCATCTTGCTTTTTTCCTCTCACTTCAGGGGCTGATGTTGTAAATTTGCCACACCCAAAAGGAAGGGCATAGGAAAAAGCACTTTTGTTTTAAAATAAACAAATAGGCCTAGGTGGAAGGGGAAAAAAAAGAATAGAAGCCAGTGCCTGCATCCATACTGTCTTTTGAGATCTCAGTAATAATTATTCTTTTCTAATTTTCTATCATATATGTATAGATTATGCTTCCCGTTAATATATGAATGCTACTTTTTAAACTACCAATAGGCAATAGTAATGAAAGGAACAGTAACAATAAACACAGGGCTTTGATGTTTTGCTCACGATTCTTCCTGATCTGTTTTCATGGGCATTAGTAACATTGTTTATTTAGTATGACAGCAACTTCAGTGTTGAACCTCAATTTTAAAAGAACTTTAAATAAATAAAATTATACATGATTTCACTATTGGATTAGGCCAACTATTAAGTGCCAGTTAGGAGCATCAACAAACATAATTAATAACAAAAAATAACAAAATCTCTAATTTTTTTTCACTTCCATTCTGATTGTAATCCCTGTGAAGGCATAAGGACAGAGGATTCATAACTTACCTGAATCTTTGAGGAAAGACTCATTTTCATCTGGCCCTCAGGAGGCAGCTCTAGTCCGCAGTTGTATTCGGCATGACTCTGCTAATTGCTAGAGAAGTAGAGCTAACTTCTATCTCCAGTCTCTATAGAATCCTTCTGCTCTCAAATCATTCTTCCTTTCCTGTCATTTAGCATTTTAAATAAGGTTATTCATCATTAGGCTAATTTTAGTACTCTTATCAATAAACTATTATTTGTCAAAAAACTCACATACTATACCACATATACTGTTCACAATAGGAGTACTGTCTGGAAAGTATTCAGCCATTGTTAATATAACAAGAACGGTTACATGGCTGGATACTTTCCAGACAGCCCTCATATACTCTAGTATTTTATCGGAAGGAAAGTTATCCTTTATTATGCCAGCTTTAGAAAGATAAGAATAAATATCTCTTCCTCCATATGTCCATATCGTATTAGGTTAAGCTCCCTAGAAGCAGAGCCCCAGATGGGATTTTTGTTCAAGTGATATGGTCGGGGGTGGTCTCAGGAGAAGGGCAGTGAAAGAAGCAGAATAGAGCAGGGGCGGTGGGGGGGATGCTGAGCAAAAATGTGGGCTCAAGTGAAAACTAGCTTCATGCTGATCTCACAGAGCACAAATTACAAAACTGAGTTGATCTCACTTTGAGGCAAAGGGATATCAAGGACCATGCAGGGTCTGAGATTCTACCCTCCTTACAACTAACAAGCCAGCCTGTTTCATGGATGCTGGCAGAGGACACGAGACTCCTGGATCAGAGACCAATGACTTTATTACTCATGGCAAAAGCAGTAGCCAGAGTGTCAGCATGATGTTTGAGCCAGTTCCCCATACCCCCTAATTCCCACAGAGGTGAAACAAAGGGCCCTCCTGCACACTTGGGAGGCTGCATTGTAAGAGAAGAGCATGAGCTGGGGGGATTCACTGCTTTTTAGAGAAGCAAACCTGCTGTTTGTCTGTAGAGAGATATTACCTTATCCTTCAAGGTTGCTTGATGCAAACACAACTGTGGGAATGGCCCATGCAAAGAGTTTTCAGGGCCTTGCCTCCCTGACACACCCAACAAGGATGTGCAGGGATGCTTGAGACACATGGCAGATGGCCTCTCCTAAGAGGGGGATGGTCTTCTGAGTGGTTTCCAAGAAAGAGGGAGTAAAGTGTCCTGGAGTGAGGGGTTTCATGTTTGGCTGGGAGCGAAGCTTCAGAGATAGAACAGCTGTAATTTGTTTTCAATTAATATCCACAGCAGCTGAGGATGGGGCACCATTAGCATCCACTGCACCTGCCCTTCCCTTTAAAATCAGATTTCTTTCTGATTGTATATTATCAATTAATGTCTATAATTTCTATTATAGAATTTAATAAATTTACCACATATTATGCAAACAGTTGTCAAGTTTCAAATGATGATTTTATATCAAATTCCAAGATTTGGTGGAAATGAACACATACTGTTGCTTTTTTCAACCTTCTCTTAGTTCTCTTTTTTCCAAATTAAAAAGGTACTAAATTTTGAGTTGTCCTCTTACAGGAGTCATGTTAAAACATCATATTAGTTTTGCTCTTTGGAAAGACAGAATAGACTAATAAAGAAGTGCACAAGCATTGGGACATACCAGCTGTCCCACTTGCCCTGTGACCTTTAAGCAAGTTATTGAGCTTCCTCCTCGCACCTCAGTTTCCTTGTATGTTAAGTGGGCTTCATAACAGAATTTATTTCATAAAGTTTTGTAGGGGGTAATGCCTGTAAGGCACTTAAAACAAAGAACAATACCTGGCATCTAGTAAGAGCTCAATCAACCTTTGTTTTTATTTTACAGACTATCTTCAACACTTCTTTTAAGCTACAGCAACAAAAACCATGTGCAGTGTGATAACCACAAAGGGCAATGTGAGTTTCAGTGAGGTAAGGTATTGTTTTCTGATTTGTTTCATTTCTGATGCCCTTTGTGAACATGCCAAGTTTTTTCTTAGCCTTTTTGGATATAGTAGCACACTGGGTGAATGTCTGCAGTGACAGTGAAACGTCTCTGCTATCTGCATGATCTATTTGGATTATTTGTCTTCTTTATACCTTACATAATAGTCCTTCACCCTAAAGCTCACTGGAAATGTTTATATTCACTAAGGCAACCATAGATTTTAGGAATCATATAATCAAAGAATTGTATATATCTAAGAAGGGACATTTAAAAAAAATTTTTTTTTTACCTCTTTTTTTTTTTTTTTTTTTTTTTT